AGGTCCTGGAATATTGAGCCCTTTGTCAGATGGGGTAGATTGCAAAATTTTCTCCCATTCTGTAGGTTGCCTGTTCGCTCTGATGGTAGTTTCTTTGCTGTGCAGAAGCTCTTTAGTTTAATTAGATCCCATTTGTCAATTTTGGCTTTTGTTGCTGTTGCTTTTGGTGTTTTAGACATGAAGCCCTTGCCCATGCCTATGTCCTGAATGGTATTACCTAGGTTTTCTTCTAGGGTTTTGTATGGTATTAGGTGCAAATATTTAAGTCTCTAATCCATCTTGAATTAATTTTCATATAAGGCGAGTAAGGAAAAGATCCAGTTTCAGCTTTCTACTTATGGCTAGCCAGTTTTCCCAGCACTATTTATTAAATAGGGAATCCTTTCCCCATTTCTTGTTTTTGTCAGGTTTGTCAAAGATCAGATGACTGATCTTATTATTCTACACATGCAATGTGTTTCCCTTTAATATCTATGTCACACTGGTCACAGCTGGAATAGTTGTTTATTTATTACATTAAAAAAAGTTAGGTTGAATTTCTTTAATTCCAACTTTGTGTTAGAACTAAATTTAGATAGATGTTTATCTTGGCACTACTTAGGGAAAAAGAGGGCCTGTTAAGTTACCATTGACATAAACTGGCTTATATAGGAAAGATTGATCTACTTAAGAGAAGCTTTTCTTTTATTGCTTAAGCTACTATTGCACATTTACAAGGTGAGCAGATCAGAGACTTACACTTTGTTACAGTAATTACAAGTCATTCTTTTCTATCTCTAACCCAGAACTTTTACCAGGTGACATTGGTGTTTGAATGAATGAACACAGGAGGATTCATTCACTGGCTGGGGTGTATGAAACGTCTCCGCAGTCCCTTCGGTGTCACCCTGGGCTGCCCTACTGGAATCTGGACTGTGTCTTGTCATTTTATCTGTGTGTTCTCAGAGAAGAAGGGAGTACTGGTTAAGCATGAAACTTCCCGTCACACCCATGGGTGGTGTAATAGACACTTTCTGGGTGACTGCCCAGCTCACAGTAATTCAACCTGCCCTGACCCACAGACATGGACTCCCAGCGGCTGTGTCTGGTCCAATATGACCTTATTTTCTCGGCAGTGGCTAAATTTGTTCAGTGGTATCCTATGAATGTAAACTGGGCCACTTAGATCTCTCTCCTGGGAATTTTGGAATTTTGAGCTAAAAACACTGGACCAGGGAGTCATAAAGATTGAGGGGCGTTAATTCTAACATTCCAGAGGAGTAGTTCTCAATCCCTGGCTATGCACTAAAATCAGCTGGAAAGCTTTTAAAATATACTTATTCAAGGGCCCTACCCCTTGAGATTCTGATGTAATTTGTCTGAGTGGAGCCAGTGCATTACTTTTTTTTTTATTTATTTTTTACAGTTACCTGTGTGATTCTATTATGTAACCAAGGTTGAAAATCAATGCTCTACAGGAAATTACCCTTCAAACCCCTGGAGCTTTACGAACTCCTTCCCGTGTTCTTCCAATAAATTCATTCTCCCCCTTTCCCCTCTCATATCTCTCTGAATCTAGCCAGAGTTTGTATTTATTCCTTATTACTAGAAGAACCTTAATACTGATGATGTTGGTGTCAGGATTATCATCTTTGGAGTTCGTTGTGTTTATGGAAGCATGCTGATTAGCCACATAAATCTCCATTTTGTTATTATGCATCTTAGTTTTTAAAAATTGCTATTTGGGCCAGGCATGGTGGCTCATGCCTGTAATCGCAGCAGTTTGGGAAGCTGAGGCAGGCAGATCACTTGAGGTAAGGAGATCGAGACCAGCCTGGCCAACATGGTGAAACCCTGTCTTTACTAAAAATAAAAAAAATTAGCCGGGCATGGTGGCATGTGTCTGTAATCCCAGCTGCTTGGGAGGCTGAGGTGGGAGAATCATCTGAACCTGGGAGGTGGAGGTTGCAGTGAGCCGAGATTGAGCCACTGTACTCCAGCCTGGGGAACACAGCAAGACTCTGTATCAAAATAAATACAATACAATACAATACAATTCAATACAATACAATACAATACAATACAATTGCTATTTGGGGTTTTCTAATATTTTCCTTTTCCTTTTTTAAAAGAATTAAGACATTTAATAGATGATAGTGCAAACTATAATTTCATTTGAATACAAATATATGCACATGTTTCCAACAAGTTATCTAGCAGTTACTACAAACAGCTCCAAGGACCTTAGAATTATATTTTAAAACTCTGTGGCTGCAATTTAATTCTAACAATCTTACTTGCTCTCAAGAGAATATCGTCAATTTCAAATAAGAATCACAAACTCCAAAAGACCAGTGGAGCGGGAATGAGGAGTGGGCAAGAGAAGTATACACAGGGTTGAAGAGAAATACAGCTCTTTAGGAAACCAGAATCAGATGCATTATTACAGCTAAGGGCAAGGAAAGGTCTATGACTTTTAAAAAATGGCTTTTCTTCCAGTACCATACAAGTCTTACAGAGAAAAGTGGGACAAGTCGACTGACTTAAAAGGACAGAGATTACATTTTCAGACACCTTCATCTGCAAACAAGTGGCCCTTTCCATTGAGGATTCAGCAGCGAAGTTATTATATCTAGCCCAGAAGCTAAATGTTGAATTTGCAAGTACAGTTTATTTTATAGAATTCAACATCATAAACAGCAGGCACCTGCTGCTTTGCTTA